ACAGCATGTATTTTTCTGTTTACTCGTGTACTTTTTTGTAGTTCACTTATCGGTAAGGTTTTCTGTAGAATATTAATATATGCTGCTAAAACAATGAAATACAGTCACTGGACTCAAACTTTTGCCTCCTACTGTACATGTGCATGCAACAAAATTCTCAGTTGCAGAATGCAAACCGCGGTATAATGATATTTAATTTACGTTCTTGCAGAATGGACGTTTCAAAATTTACCAGTTCAAATTTTAATCAATGCAATCTTTGGAACTTGCTCCATTCTAGCTCAGAAAATTTAGTTCTAGAGAGCATTTTATCAGTCTATTTTTGACGTCATGCATTTAACAGACCCAATGATCAGTAAGAATCCCATGGAGATACATCTAGAGCGATGCTGGTATTTTCGTTCGAAAATATCTTGGAGCCGTAATAATAATGGGTAAAAGAATTTGTTAATACTCGTGACGATCTTTCAAACATGACGAAAAATTTTATTGTGATTTTGCACAGTGTTTTATGACATTCTTACACATATTATCGTTCGTAATAGTAAATTAAGCTTCCAACAGTTGCTGATATTCCATGGCGAGCGTAATGAGAGTGGTGGTAAATTTCTTCAGATCCAGCAGTCTAGCGCCGTCAATTACTTCTCGGCATACTGGAGATTCTGAAGATTCTGCGGGAAGCTGTAAAAGAAAATTTTATTTTACAATTAGTCGTTTTTATAGAATTCTAGATTGAAATATGTACACTGTCATAAAAAGCACGAACATTTCCACTGCATGTATAGCAGCAATCAAAACGAAATTAGTTTTAACTCGGGCCACTGTGGTAACCGAGAATAGGTTTCGCGATTATTATTATTTTTTGGTTCGCAGGCTTAATCTTCCGCGCCGGCAATCACATATTTACTGCTCAATGCAGTCAGTGTATGATTGAACTATCAGGACGCATAGGCCTGCAGTTTGACGAACGCGCACCGGAAAGAAGAGAACAGAGCTAAAATAACTTATTAATTATAAGTAACTTAAAATATTGTGTCAATGTGATTGCCTGATTGTGTTATTTTCATATTGTCGTGATCTGTAAACGATCTGTAAACAATGCAAATATTTTTTGCGCATCGCCCAGTAACCCGACCGCGTAGCCCGAGTTAACGCCTTTCTATAGCGTCTTGTTGAGGTATGAAAAGTAAAATATGTCACAATACTAGACTGAGTAGACTTTTGGATAAACGCCGATTACTTCAAATGCCTATCTTTTTAAAAATTGGATCAATAATTTTCTATACGTGAGATAATAAAGGTTCTATTTTTGGACTAGTACAATATGTATAAGTGAATTAACTCACCTCGCAAACGTAGGCACTCTCAGATTCAGTTTCATCTTCAGAGTCAACACTGAAGAAGTCTTCAACTTCAAAGCTGCGATTGTGATACTCGATCATTTTCAAAATCTAAAGAAAAGATATAAACCTTATTTTCAGTAACGATGTCATCCACGTAGGCAAAAATAAGGCAATTAGTTTAGTTTAGTTTAGTTTAATAAATTTGTCACATCATTACAAACATTACAGTCAATAACAAAGACGAAGAATATATAAACATAGTGACAGGCCGAATACACAGCTTTCTTCCCCACGGGAACTGTGTGGAGAATAAGCAAGTATACATACTTACAAAATGTCCCAAACTGTTGGGAAAGAAACTCTGAAGTTTCATCACAACACAGATTGTCTCTCTTGCAGCTGTTACATTCGTAACATGATCGTTCGGGACAGAGATTGCGAGATTTTCTATGTAGGGACATTCGTATTGATATCTTTTGACCAAGGTTTTGATAGCCAGTTGAAGATTCTTCAGAAAAACGCTAGGCTGAAAGGAGAAAATAAAATTACCTTTAGCATTCTGAGCATGTACGCTTCATTATTTCAACTGAAGCAAGCGATCGGAGCTCAGGGAAAGGATTTGCTCTTGTGAACTAATTGGTACGTTGTTTCTGCAGTCTCGCAAACTTACTTCTCTTTCAATCTTCAAAGACTCCAGTAGTTCATCTTGCAAATCAATACTGCGACGACGTTTTCCAAATTTCCACGTATAGCCAAGGTTAGTTTGCCTATTTTGCCAGTTGTGACCGACTTGGAAGTTGTGGTTTCGACGATAGTTGGCGTTCAAATTTGTTTGCCTGCAAATATCAATAAAATATGCATTGGTATAATATATACTAATGCCTAGTATTGTCACGATGCAGCGATTACCTGGATCGGAAGTTATGATTCACATTAGTGTTCCACCGATTACCACCATAATTGTAGTTCAATTGTCTGTAGTTGAGGTTTGTGTTGTGTCGTCCATTGTTGCTTCGATGATTGAGGCCGTTATAATTGAGATTGGTATTTCTCCCCAATCGGTAGTTGTAATTTCTGCTGTTCCATTGTGCCGAACTAAATAAAAAAGTTTCATTAAAAACCGCTTGCGTGAAACCGTCATGCAACCAATTTAGAGATGTGACAAGCTATTAGAGGATCACAATGAAAGCATTTGTGTAAATCAATTGTATTTTCTCGATTTTTGTTTTCTCTTTTTATTAACCAGTCAAAAATTTGGCATTCAATTGTCAATATTTCATACTCTGCATGTACACTTGGATAGCCACTATTCATCAATTAATTTTTGCACATAGTAAACAACAATATATAGGTGCATATATACAAGATGAAAAGATAAAAGTCCCCTTATTGTTTGATGCAGGATCACAGTGATCTCGAGGCATCAGTGTAACTCATCGCAACGCGTCGTTCTAAGAACAACTTACCTAAATCCGGCTGCAAAACAAAGAATAATGGAGAATAAGCAAGTTACAGTGAGCTTCATCTTTTCTTGAACCAATTTTCTAGTAGAACCAGTTTAACCCTCTTCGAGACTTCGACAGTTCGAGTATGAAAGCAGTGGAAAAGATCGCGCCTTATATACTCCTGGTTGCACCTCAGCCCAGAGTAAAATTTGATCCGGTAATTGCTGTAAGGCTTCAGCATTTCCTTTTTAGTTTTAGTTCACAGGCGTTCCAGCATGCTTTATCAACTTCCTTTCAGAAACTTAATTCTGAAGAACATGCAGGGTGTTAATTCGCTGTTATTTTCCGTCCATGCAGGTTCATATTTCATCAAAGTTATTTTATGTTATTTTTTACTTGATATTTGAGTTATTAGCACATCGCAAACGTTTTGGAAACCAAACGTTAATAAAAAGCATAAAGATTTGCTGTGCATCCTCGTTATACCTGCATAAATATATTCCATTTCATTTGACGTCAGCATTTTTTTGAACGACAAACTGACTATTACTATATCCTCGAATTTGCGTCTGCGCGCAAGGTAGAGTCATTGCATGTACTGACACAGTTTGCGACTTTAGGCCATGTACGTTATACCACAGTTAATAGAATATACATGGTTTGGAGACCACATAAAACTACAATACAACTAGTACTCATTAACTATGTTGAGGTAGGTTTATGCAAAAAATTGTTCCTTTCTCATCACGTGCATCAGTATTGTATTTTACACAGATAAACCAATAGCAATCTTACAATTAACATATTTTTCAAGTCAAGGTTGAGGAGCTTAGCAAGACGAATGCCATTTGTACGTTTGGCTAAAATACAATAGACAAGCGACGAGAAAGGAACCATTTTTTGCATAAATCTGGACAATAACATAGTTAATGTGTTGTGCTGTACTTTTATTTAGTCTCCAAACCAGGTCTATTCTATTCACTGTGGTTATACAGTGGAATAGGAATGTCCCTAAATTTTGCTGCCGTTCACAGTGAAACAAACAAACAAGTCAAATCCAATCATCAACTTTCAGAAATTACGTTGGTAAGCAACTTAAATAATATCCGTGCATAAGTATACCGGACTGCAAAACAAACAAAAAAAGATGTATACAAGCTTCAGCGCAAGAAACTTGGCTTTCATGAAAATAAAACGTGGCCTATCTGTTTTAGTATATCAGGCCATTCAGCAGTTAAGATTCAAAACACCTTTGGAATGTTCTTCCAGCTGAAGCGCACGATTAATCCTAATTCCTAACCTTGTGTACCTCCCCTGTGACGCACGTTACGCAATTTATTCTAAATTCGATTTACTGCCTGTGGTATATGTTCCGTTTCAACTTGTGCAAGCAATGATTGATATTTTTTGGCATTTTATTAAAATAGTTGCTAGCAAATAACTAAAGTTTTCTGGAGAGTTTATAAATACACTTTTCAAATATCGTGAAAAGGATACAAAGCAATGAGATACTGAGATCGGACGATAGGATCTTCTTGTTTACGCAATGGAAACAAATTGGCCGTTTTCCATTTTTGAGGGAAATAGCTATTATTAAGCGATTGGTATAATTAGTTAACGACGGACTCATTTCCAAGACTACCTCACCGTCCCTTAATAATCTACCAGGGATGTTGTCAGGGCCACTAGCTAGGCATATTAGACCTATTTTATAAGGAATATTTTTTACATCAGTCTGATTACCTATTTTCGTATGAAACTGGTCCTGTTTGATTCATTAGGATGCTTTAACACCGTTCATACCGTTCCGTACGGTAATAAAGCATCCTAATGAATGTTGTCCGACTGAAGCCGTGATATTTTTAATCAGGATATTTTTAATTCACATTTTCCTTGCTTTTTTTAAATTGAAAATACCACACTTGAGTTATATCAGTCAATCTACCTGACCCTGTATTTTGCAAAACGAGACTCGAAGACAAAATGTCACTGATGTGTCATTCAATTTTAATTCATCATCTCTCGTGTGAGAGGAATGTAAGGAAAGCGCATGTAAGGAATGTTCGCATGTGAGGAAAGCGCTGTGATCTCAATTTCTCAATTTCATTAATTGCATTGTTGTTCCAAGTGCGCTGTTTTGTGAGTATCCGTTTATCTCTGGATATTTCAGACCGCAGAGGATTACGCAAAGACGGGACTTCCGTGCCATATGTCATTTTAGAATGTTTCGCTTGACGTCATAATCTGTACGTTAGACGCATTTCAGCGTTTATTTTAGCGTGATATTTATTGTTAAAGCTTTCTGAGTACGGCTTCAGCTTCCTTTTCAGCATAAGAAGTGTTTCGTTTATTTGCGCTCAGATTTTAACATGTCGTTACGTAGACAGTGGTCATTCACAATGCTGTCCTTGGATGTGATGATTTTTGCCCTATTGGTCTGGGCAACACAGCGGATTGTTGCCTTCGACGCCTGTAAAAAGTCCGACGAAACCTGTAGTGCAAACCACAATGATTATTCTGACTTTGTTGGACGCTACACATTCCCAACAACTCCGATTAGGGCCGTCGAATGTAGAAGCGAAGAAGCCATAGCAGAAATGACTAAGGGGGTGAGTAATGATGTAAAAACTGCATGTGCATGCGGCACTGTTACATAAGAGTTTGGGAGGGTGATGAGTATATCTATAGGTAGAAATATGTCAACGTTCGTTGCTGAGGCCAAATTGTATAGAACTTTTAACCACGTTAAAGTCTTTGGCTGCACTTCAACAAAACCATCCTTTGAATGTTTACGCACCTCCAAAAGCTAGTAATTAATATAGTTTTTGTTTTATAAATCCAGGTTCCAATTGTTTTGAAGAACTGTCATTTTGGTGAGATCACACAGGGGTGGACATTTGAATATTTGAAACAAAATTTACTGTCACCTAATCTCACAGTTTACAAGTCCCCAACAAGAAGATTCTTATTTTACAATCGTGAGAACTCCAGGGAAATTATAGAAAATATAACATGGAGTCCGCCACATAATGTGACTGAGATGAGTTTTTTACAGTTCCTCAATCAGATTGACGAGCTTGAAAAAGCTGGAAATGGCACAAAAGCATATTTGCAGGTACGAATCAGGTCAAATTGTATTTATAAAATGACACCTAATTGACTAACAATTTTATGGTACAGTCTGTAGAAGTTAAATGTGAAGACTATATTTTCGTGATATGTATCCGTAAGTTCTGATCACAAAACTCTACGGTCGCGGCATCAGTAGATATACATTATAGTTCTAATGCTAATGTCTTATTTTATATAGAGCAGCCTTGAAAAGGAATCTCTAAATTCAGACATGCAGGATGATGTGTTGATGTTTAATACGAAGTGGTTGAAAGATATGAAAGAGAAACTGTCATGGGGTAGACTTGATGTTAATCTTTTCCTTATTGGTATGGGCGGAGTCGTAACACCCGCCCATTACGATATTATGGAGAACCTATTTCTGCAGGTTTGTCCTAATTAATACACCAGCGCCTAATTCAGATTAAACCACTAACCAGTACTGTTGAATCAATAAAACAAATTCAGATAATGGGAATAAAACTACTCGTGTCGTCACTAAGTGTAATTATCCAGAACAATGACGCATATAGCAAACATAAACTAAAATACAATTTATACAGTAGTTTATGTATCGTATAGTTTGAAATTATCTTGTAGATTCATGGTAAAAAGCGATGTATTTTGTTCAGTCCAGAAAATTACAAGTTCCTGTATCCTTATCCTGTTTATCATCCTCATGATCGTCAGACACAGGTATACCATGCATCACAGTTCAAGGTTATAGTAAATTAAAAATTAGTTTTTTTAACTCTACGAGATGAAGAAATTTACTTCGCCCCCTTTCACTATCCGTTACCGCGTACAAATTTGCACAAGTGCTACATGCAAGAGCTGTTGGTTTGTGGAGGACAATAATTATATATGAATTGAAACTTCAAATGACCTTTTGAACCTCACGCGGTTGACTGTTGATATATGTTTTGTTGTTGTTCGTTGCTCCTATTCTTAGACGTAATAGCTCGCAATTTTTATTACTATTGAGTATTGACACCATTGGATAAACTGTATTTAAGACACAGTGTATAAAGAAGTCGTTCTTTTTACCTTTTGTAGGTGAATTTCGATTTTCCTGACTTTAAAAAGTTTCCAAAATTCCGCAACATCACTGGTGTTGATGCTGTCGTTGGACCCGGTGATGTCTTGTACATTCCAAACTACTGGTGGCATTACATTGAGTCAGAGAGCGACAGGTATAGCATACGGCAGTAACGCCATTGAAAATATTATACTAATATAAAAATATATTAATGAATATAGCAAGGGATAGAAATTTCCAGCCAGTTCGAAGATCATTAACATTTGAAGGGAAAAAACGTTTTCAATTGAAATCATTCTTGGAAATTTCCCCCTTTTCATCAATAGTACACTACAGTACCCAATTACAGTACCTTCAGGGGCGTAGCCAGCCTGACGATTTTGTCTCACTGTGTAAATTTCGAGTTATTATTATTATTCATTTCTTTAGAAATTTATTGTTTTCACAGTCAGTGAACACGAAAATATTAGCATAGCGGGACAAATCGACAGGCTGGCTACCCTATTGACTATTGAGTACCTTCCGTTCCCAACGTCTGGTGTTAAATGTTATAAATGCTATTTATAGCAGAACCATATCTATGAATTTCTGGTACTTGCCAAAAGATGCTGAAGATGAGTTAGTGGAGGATGCTAAAATAGCTGCAGAAGAAGAACAAGTTGAGAGCATTGGTAGCGAAAAAGAACCTAATGGGAAATCTGGGGAACAAGGGAAAGAAGACAAAAGTGAAATAGAAGATAAGGAAGAGAAAATGGAAGAAGAGGGTGAAAAACAGTTCAATAAAACGAGACCTGATGCATATACTGCAGGAGAGTTGATTGGGCTATCGCGAGATATCGAGGCCATGGTTGGAGAGGCGCTAAATGATGTCAAAAAGGTAAAAAAACATGTTACTAAACAACTTAGTGCAATATATCACTACTGCACGTAATCGTACATCGTGCAACTCCAGTGTTTTTAAAGCTAAGCCATAGTTTTAAATCAAATATATTCTATCTGTTACTGCATGCATCACATGAAATAGAAGGATTTCTTCCGAGGGGATTTCGTCATAGTCCAAAAATATTTTAATTAAATTAATTTGTCCCGATTTACAGTTTTACATATAAATTCTAGGTGGGTGCATTTTTAAAAGAGTTGGTTGATGGACGCTTTGACCACGTTTGAAACAAGACAACGATACAGTTCCGGCTGTTATCATGCAGTTAGTAAAGAAAATGCGTTAAATATGAATTGCGTTTTAGTATGCACCTTTACTCCAATGAAACAAAAAGTGGTGTACTAGTACTGGATTACTTTTTATCATTATCGTGCAAATGGTTGGTCGCCATGTTATTTAAACGTCGCATTTTTGTCGCGTCGAATGCAATTCTAACACTAGATAATGAGATGATAAACCTCATTGAGTTCAGTTACATATATTCTCATCTCCAATAGGAGTGGCTCATCATCTCATATATTGTGTCAATTGCGTCGCGACCAAAATGCGACGTATAACTAGGCTATAACTAAAGGCGTACATTGTACATAGAAGTATCTTTTCATGTAATTTATTATATGATACTATTGGTGTAATTTACACCTCACATTCCTTCCGTTAGTATTTGAATATTTATTAAATGTGCGCGGGAATGAAGGTCCTGTTACACGGTGCAATTTTTCATGGAACACGTCTCGCAATGGCTTTGCGACGAAAGATGTTGAAGATCATGCATTTGGATCACCAGGAGAGAAAAATTTAAAAATTTGATTGCTCTATAGATCTAATGCAGAGATATCCTTCAAAGAATAATTACTGACTTCGTTTTACATGGGTTTGAAAATGGTCGTAGCTAACAATAGCTCATGTGCTGAAATTTGTAAACAGTTACGGAAAATCTATATGATTAAATTTACACCGTAAACTGTTACCATGACTTTTGTTCATTAATAATCTCGGCTTACATCTAAATTGAATATTGAGACCTATACATACTGATATATAGCAAATTGACATCGATTTATATGTATTTGCTGGCCGGCTTATACAAGCTTATTTTGGCCTATTCAGTTCACTTTTTTAGTCAATCGTTTGATTCGTTTCTTCTTAATTATAGAAGATTCTATAAATTGGGAAAAAGATATTGTCATGCATACGAATTACGACATGAATTTGAAAAGTACAACATTATAAAATACATATTTAGATTTCGCCCATTTGTCTGCATGTCAATGTAACATGAAAAACGCCTATGTCCATGGTATATTGGGAGATCTTTCAATGCGAAGTTATAATAATTGGGGGTATTCAACATTCATTTTGTGCAATGTCAATCTTTTTTTAAATCGATTGACAGACTCCTCGCTCAATTACCGACGCTAGTTACGCCCGAGATTTCACTGCAGGGGGAAAAGTGCAGACCATTTTACTTAAAATTCGGAGGTTTCGCTTAAACAACTTCGTCTGAATCACACAATGATTTGGCGCTCGAAAAGGTCAATTTTGTAACGTTTTTACGGCTTATTCTACCTTTTCCTACTTGCACTCTTAATGAATACTTCATATGTGGTATACTTAGTTTCGTCGGACTCTGGCCAAAACGTCTTTCCAAAATTAAGATTCGTAAGATGCGTAAGATTCGGAAAATTCGCATCGCGTTGCAGAATCACGTTCGATGTGTGTGTCGTGCGGGAAGTTAAAATGAAGACTGGACGGCTCCCAGTTTTCCCGGCTGAGAGAAAACGGAGAGATATTCTGAGCAAACGTGTGATTGAACTTTATTACATGGCGAATTTCTATAAGTACTAGTCGGCAGTATTATAAAGTATTAAATTATTTGATTATTTAATTATTGCATTGCCGTTATTAGACTCCACTATTAGACTAACATGTAAGGTTCATGCCAAGAATAACACAATCGCCCCACAACAGAAAGCATGCATGCGTCAATGATTGAAGTGCCCTGTTAAATTTTAGCGTTTTACATCCAGGGGTGAAGTGAAGTACATGTACTGGTATGAGACCTCGTTCACCTGACTTATTATATACATGTGCATGCAAAAAAATTCTCAGCTCAAATTTTAACCAATGCAATCTTTGGAACTTGCTCCATTCTGGCTCAGGAATTTAGTTCTAGAGAGCATTTTATCAGTCTATTTTTGACGTCATGCAATTAACAGACCCAATGATCAGGAAGAATCCCATGGAGATACATCTAGAGCGATGCTGGTATTTTCCTTCGAAAATATCTTGGAGCCGTATTAATAATGGGTAAAAGAATTTCTTAATACTCGTGACGATCTTTCAAATTTGACCAAAAATTTTATTGTGACTTTGCACAGTGTTTTATGACATTCTTACACTATATCGTAATAGTAAATTAAGCTTCCAATAGTTGCTGATATTCCATGGCGAGCGTAATGAGAGTGGTGGTAAATTTCTTCAGATCGAGCAGTCTAGCGCCGTCAATTACTTCTCGGCATACTGGGGATTTTGGAGATTCTGCGGGAAGCTGTAAAAGACAATTTTTTTTTTTATTTTGCAATTAGTCGTTTTTATAGAATTCAAGATTGAAATATGTACACAGTCATAAAAAGCACGAACATTTTCAGTATATAGGAGCAATCAAAACTAAATTAGTCTTTATTCGGGCTACTGTGGTAGCCGAAAATAGGTTTCGCGATTATTATTATTTTTTGGTTCGCAGGCTTAATCTTCCGCGCGGACAACGGATAAACGCCGATTACTTCAAATGCCCACGTTTTTAAACATTGGACAATAATCGTCTATGCGTGAGATAATAAAGGTTCTATTTTTGGACTAGTACAATATGTATAAGTGAATTAACTCACCTCGCAAACGTAGTCACTCTTAGATTCAGTTTCATCTACAGAGTCAACACTGAAGAAGTCTTCAACTTCAAAGCTGCGATTGTGATACTCGATCATTTTCAAAATCTAAAGAAAAGATATAAACCTCATTTTCAGTAACGACGTCATCCACGTAGGCAAAAATAAGGCAATTATATGGCCGAATACACAGCTCTCTTCCCCACGGCCACTGTGTGGAGAATAAGTAAGTATATATACTTACAAAATGTCCCAAACTGTTGGGAAAGAAACTATGAAGTTTCATCACAACACAGATTGTCTCTCTTGCAGCTGTTACATTCGTAACATGATCGTTCGGGACAGAGATTGCGAGATTTTCTATGTAGGGACATTCGTATTGATATCTTTTGACCAAGGTTTTGATAGCCAGTTGGAGATTCTTTAAATAAACGCTGGGCTGAAAGGAAAAAATAAAATTATCTTGAGCATTCTGAGCATCGATGTATACGCTTCATTATTTTAAAGCAAGCGATCGGAGGTCAGCGAAAGGATTTGCTCTTGTGAACTAATTGGTGCGTTGTTTCTTGCATGCTGTCTCGCAAACTTACTTTTCTTTCAACCTTTAAGGACTCCAGTAGTTCATCTTGCAAATCAATACTGCGACGACGTTTTCCAAATTTCCACGTATAGCCAAGATTAGTTTGCCTATTTTGCCAATTGTGACCAACTTGGAAGTTGTGGTTTCGACGATAGTTGGCGTTCAAATTTGTTTGCCTGCAAATATCAATAAAATATGCATTGGTATAATACAGTATATACTATAATGCCTAGTATTGTCACGATGCAGCGATTACCTGGATCGGAAGTTATGATTCACATTGGTGTTCCACCGATTACCACCATAATTGTAGTTCAATTGTCTGTAGTTGAGGTTTGTGTTGTGTCGTCCATTGTTGCTTCGATGATTGAGGCCGTTATAATTGAGATTGGTATTTCTCCCCAATCGGTAGTTGTAATTTCTGCTGTTCCATTGTGCCGAACTAAATAAAAAAGTTTCATTAAAAACCGCTTGCGTGAAACCGTCATGCAACCAATTTAGAGCTGTGACAAGTTATCAGAAGATCACAATAAATGCATTTATGTAAATCAATTGTATTTTCTCGATTTTTTGTTTCTCTTTTTATTAATTAACCAGTCAAAAACTTGGCATTCAATTATCAGTATTTCATACTCTGCATGTACAATTTGGATAGTCACTATTCATCAATTGATTTTTGCACATAGTAAACAACAATATAAAGGTACATATATACAAGATGAAAAGATAAAAGTCCCCTTATTGTTTGATGCGGGATCACAGTGGTCTCGAGGCATCAGTGTAACCCATCGCAACGCGTCGTTCTAAGAACAACTTACCTAAATCCAGCTGCCAAACAAAGAATAATGGAGAATAAGCAAGTTACAGTGAGCTTCATCTTTTCTTGAACCAACTTTTCTAGTAGAACCAGTTTAACCCTCTTCGAGACTTCGACAGTTCGAGTATGGAAGCAATGGAAAAGATCGCGCCTTATATTCTCCTGGTTGCACCTCAGCCCAGGGTAAAATTTGATCCGTTAATTGCTGTCAGGCTTCAGCCTTTCCTGTTTAGTTCTAGTTCACAGGTGTTCCAGCATGTTTTATCAACTTCCTTTCAGAAACTTCTGAAGAACATGCAGGGTGTTAATTCGCTGTTATTGTCCGTCCAGGTTTATATTTCATCAAAGTTTTTTTTTGTCATTTGATATTTGAGTTATTAGCACATTGCAAACGTTTTGGAATCCGAACGTTAATAAAATGCAAAAAGATTTGCTGTGCATCCATGTTATACCTGCATGAATATATTCCATTTCATTTGACGTTACCATTTTTTGAACGACAAACTGACTATTATTATATCTTCGAATTTGCGTCTGCGCGCAAGGTAGAGTCATTACATACAATTACACATGACTTTAGGCCATGTACGTTATACAGTTGAATAGGAATGTCCATAAATTTTGCTGCCGTTCACAGTCAAACAAAAAAACTCATCAACTTTCAGAAAGTACGTTGGTAAGCAACTATAATAATATCCGTGCATGACTACCGGACTGCAAAACAAACAAAAAAACATGCACAGGCTACAGCGCAAGAACCTTGGCGTGCATGAAATAAGAAAATTTAGCCTATCTATTTTAGTATACGAGGCCATTCAGCAGTTAAGATGCATGCGCGTGTGTGATGCTGTAAGCCAAATGTATTTTGATGCCCGTTCAAAACTCCTTTGGCATGTTCTTCCAGCTGAAGCGCACGATTAATCCTAATTCCTAACTTCCCCTGTGACGCACGTTACGCAGTTTATTTTAAATTCGATTTACCACCTGCATGTGGTATATGTTCCGTTTCAACTTGTGGAAGCAATGGTTGATATTTTTTGTGCATTTCAGTTATCAAAAATAATTACTGGCAACTAACTACAGTTTTCTGGAGAGTTTATGAGCGCGCTTTTCAAATATCGTGGAGAGGATACAAAGGAGTGAGATCGGACAATAGTTGTTTGCCAACGTATAGGATCCTCTTGTTTATGCAATCGAAGCAATTTGGCCGTTTTCAATTTTTGAGGGAAATAGCTATTATTAAGCGATTGGTTAAATAATTAGTTAAAGACAGACTGATTCCAAGGCTATATACCTCCCAGTCCATTAATAATCTACCAGGGATGTTGTCAGGGCCACTAGCTAGACATCTTAGACCTATTTTATAAGGAATATTTTTTACATTAATCTGATTTCTTTTTTCCTATGAAACTGGTCCCGTTTGATTCATTAGGATGCTTTAACATGCACCGTTCATACCGTTCCGTACGGTAATAAAGCATCCTAATGAATGTTGTCCGACTGAGGCCGTGATATTCAGTTTAATCAGGATATTTTTAATTCACATTTTCCTTGCTTTTTTAAAATTGAAAATACCACACTTGAATTATATCGGTCAATCTACCTGACCCTGTATTTTGCAAAACGAAAAATTGAAAATACCACACTTGAGTTAT